CAGCTCCGCAAACCGACATTTCCCACGGGAACCGATATTGTAATAACTTGCTTTATAGGTTGGAATGGTCGGTGGTATATTAATTTTAATAATTATCATTTCGATCGTAATATAACGTTTGAAGGTCATTCGATATGGTTTATAATATTGATAAACGGTTACGATAAACGGTTTTAGCTTTTACACGATTTTATTTTCCATCGCGCACGTATGTCTGTGCGAATACGCGTGTGTGTCTACGTGCAGCAGTAAGGATGTAAAAGTCACATGGGTCCATTAAAGTGATGTTGTCGGGGATTTGTGTCTTACAATCGCGATTTATTTAAATTCCATGTGTATTGGTTAGATGGCCGTGTTTGTTGGTCGAAACGCGTGCATCGTCATAATTATTAATAACACGGTCAAAGGCATTAGAAAACCAAACTACTCGGCTCCTCTGAAAAACACCAAAGAAGAAACGAAAAACTGCACACTGTCTGTCCTGTGTGTGTAAACCCGTTATCCCGATGGCCGCAAAAAAATATTGTGCAGTAGAATTTCTGTCGAATTAAACGTTCCTATAGGCTATAGGTATTTTTATAGATAGACAAATTGGTTTTATTATAGATCACCGAGTATTGCGAATACTTTTTTTTATTTTCTCTATGAAAACGCATTCGAAAGTGAAATCAGTTAATCGTCTGTACGGGTTAACCTAATATTTTTGGACACGTTTTCTTTTTTTAAATTAACCCCAAATAACCAGCTGAGTTGTGATTACTGGAAATTGGAAATCGGACGCCATAATATTTCCGATACAGTCACCTAGCCACACATTTATAGTGTACTTTGGCACTTGTGCGTATAAATCGACGTCCGGAAGTGCGTTGTGTTGTGCATTGTTCGTTCGTTTATTTGGACGAGCCGGAAAAATTACAGGAAATAAAATAATAAACGCGGGATTTAATAGTGTCATTGTGTGGTGTTAAAAACTATTATTACAGGATGATGTTCGGTGTGAATCCTGTTAGAATTTTGTAACGTCGCGGTCGTGTTTACAAAGATTAACGGAAAAATAATTAAAATCAACGTAAAAATGTATTATACGGCTAGGTAGTTATTTTTATTACCCGTGATATTATAACATTAATTGAACGCGCAGTTTTAATTGGTAAATGTCCGTATATAAAAAAATAATAATAATAAAAACACTCGCAAAGAGGTATATTGATTACGGTTTAAAAATCAACACCGTATTATATTGTATATTAATGGTGTAAATCGATAACAGCGAATACGTTCTATAACGAAGTGTACCTATGTTTTGCACGTTATTATTTTCTCACCTGCATTAGAATAATATTCCGTTTGTACACACACACGTGAAATGTTTGGATTCGTAATGAGATAAACAACATTATCAGGGCGATGAACGATATTAAAATTCATTAGATCATCAATATTGTTATTTAACAACACTTTTTAGTGTTAGCGAAACGGTAATATTATAAGTTACGCGTTTGTAACGTGTTCAACTTACTATATTATAATAATAATAATATTGTACATTATGATTTATGGTCTTTACAGGTTTTGAAATCGTATTGTTGCATACCTGTAACTATTTAGACAGCTGCTGCTGCTGACTGATGCAATTGATTTGATTTGCATGCAAACTTTTTATTGGGCTAATTTAAAAAACGTACAACTCTTGAATTATAATAGTTATCTCCACATTTTATGCGTCTTTTGTAAACATTTTCTAGTGTTTTTTTTTAGTGTAATTATTACTATTTGTATATTGCATTTTCTATATCGACTGCATTTGCATACAAATAATCGTCGTTACATAATAAACATGAGTAATTAAAACAAAAAATATTACTTTTTCAGTTTTATAACATTATTTTTATTTTTATTAAGACTCGTAAGTTTAATTTTAAATTCACCGTATTTCACATTCATGTAATTTATGTAATTCATCTGTACAAGCTCATTAAATTATGTATTATTATATTTTTTTAAGTTTCATCTGGCCTAATTAGTACTAACCTAACCAACATTTGTTTTTTAATGAAAATAATAATTGTGAACTAAATATAACCAATTGTATAATGCTTCATATTATTATATACATTTATGTACATGTATATTACTTTTTAAGTAGTACATGCATAATGAATATATATATATAATATTATATTGTTTCGATCTCTTATTCACTGTCTCTGTAAAACAACGTTACTTATATAAGTTGTAACCTACCTACATGTGTTTTTCCAATTACCCTCATCCACTCTGAGAATTGAACCAGAACAATTATTATTAAATGTATAGCATTTTTCTCTCGAAATTACAAGTCATTTTTTTTTCTTTAACCTACAAAGTTCAACTCTGTCGTTATAATTTAGTAAGAATCCATTAGACGTGTTTACTAGTTAATTGTTGGTACTTGGTATTATCGTCGTTTATTGAAGTTTTTATACATTCAAAGTTAATGTTACACATTATTATATATGCAAGATAACAAAAATATTTGTGAAATAGTTTCATATTTTTACGAATTTGACTAGTTAATTGCTGAAATATATAGTTTAAGTATATAGTTTAATAAAATATTATATCATTAACGCGTGTGATAAAAGGTAAATAACTGAACGATACTTAAACAATAATGAAATGTTTTAATCAATTTTTTTTCAAGTTGAGATATTCTCTGAAATTTGATTAACCTTGATTGTTACTGATGTATCAATTTATCTATTTACCTACGTTGTCACGTTGGGGTTGATTAATTTTACAAAAATCATTAAGTTATTTGATCATTTTATTCTTATAGTTTTCAAATCAATTTATTATTATTATCTATTACTGAATATATTTTTTTAATATGACGTCTATATTTTATATTTGGAAGTTTCTGTACTAATTTATTGTCGTCAATCATATTCTCAATCATACACCGAATCACATGAATCATAATTAATATTAATTTAGTCCGAACACGAGGGAGACATGATTTAGAATCAGTGTTTTTATTGGAATGAAAATTGATTGACCTTTGTAGTTTTTGGACTTGTTGACGAACGACGGAGACGGTGACGGCAGCAGCGTTTGATACGATCATCGTAACGATTCGAAAATTAATCGATTTGAACAGTGTTTTTAAGTACTCGAATGGCTGCGCTTCTAGTTGAAGATGATTTAAATTCTACTGTAACTATTGACATCGGCATTACGACGACGACGACGTATGGAAAACAATAGCTAGACACACGTGCGATATTTTAATTTACAACGCAGATTGGACGTGACAAATGATGTAAACAGGTAATCGGACCTACGATTGCATTTAAAGTGCGTTTTTTGTTGTTAGCGTTGGATAAAATTTGAAAAAAAAAATCAGGAATACAAGAACTTGTTTGAGATAATCCGCCGTTTTTCTTTTGGTCAAGTGGGGGCCCCTTACACACGCTTGTCTGATGCAGCCTACACGTCATAATATTGTATCATACAATGCGCGTATTGTTTTATCGGAATTCCGCGGCGGGACTTTCTGTCGACGGCGGCTCGCGATTAGTGTCCACCGACGACGGCGTTATGCTACCATCCGACCGACGTACGTCAGCTCGCTCGCCGTCGGTTCCCGTTCGAAACGAGTTTTTCCGTCCGGCCGACGACTTCGGAAACGAAGCTAACGAAATAAAAAAAAAACTAAAGAAAAACCGAAACGAAATGGACCGTGTAAAAATCGTCGACGGCGTAATGGAAAATGGAAATCAAAGGCTGGCGAATAACGATATTGTCATTACCGTAGTCATCACCCGTAACGCCGCGCGTCCGGATTTCTATTTGTTTTCGTCGAATTTTCTTTTCCTACACGACGAATAATAACGAAAATCGGGTGCGCGTGGGACCTGCGCCCGAGTTTCACCTGACGCGAAACCGCGGTGTCGAACGGTGTCTCTGGTGGAAAAGTGTGACAAACGGCCGCCGAAGAAGAAAACAATATTTATCTCGACAGCGTTCTTTTTTACTCTTTTCGGTTTTCGATATTTTTTTAACCTTTATCATTATTAATCTTCGGCTGTGCAGTGTGCCGACGACGGACATATCTCGTCGTCGGTCCATCGAACCGCCCGCAACGATTCGACACGTTCTCGACAAATATTTTCCAACCCACGGAGGAGCCCCCCGCCGCCTAACCCTTCCCGTGATTTCTTTCTCCCGTCGGCGGCGGTCGAAACGCGCACACCGAACAGCAACTATAATATAATAATGTACTACCTCTCCTAATGTAATAATAATAATAATAATAATAATAATAACGTATAAAACACACACATAGAGGAGGAGCGTGTGAGCGAGAGACGGACGGCAAAAAAATAACAAATTGGCAACGTAGTCCTCGGTTCTCGCGGTGCACGCGCGGCGGGGTGATGCATGTGTGACGACGACAGCGCGCTCTACTGTTCGGTTGTGCTACGAACTGCGGCGGTGGCGAACCGACCAACCAACGGGCAGACCGAACGACGAGAGCACACGACAGCAGCGGTGGGACCAGTTTCTCGTCGTTTGTCCGAGATAGTGGAAGTGGTGCGCCCGGGGTCGTTCCGGAGGCCTCGCAGACTTTGAGCCGATCGCACGTTTTGTGTATTTGTGTGTGTGTGTTTGTTTATCTGTCCGTCTGTCTGGACTGGCCGTCGTCGTCGGTTGTTTTGAATCTATCGTCGGAGGCGGTTTTCGCGCGATTCCTTCAATCGAAACAATATAACGCAAAAGCAGCCACGTCGTCGTCGCCCGTCATCGGTTGTGTGATGTCCGCGCGACGGTAAACAGCAAGAGCTAACTGACTGAAACTCATAACAACGGACTATGTTCATTGACTCTAAGCAGGTGTCGTCGTAAGACCGGTAAACGACGTTATATTATATTAACCGACAACCACAGTCGTCATCCCCCTCGTATCGTGCCGCAAGCTCACGCCGGACGTGAACACCCGGCCGCCGGTACAAGCGACGATGAGCGTCAGCTACATCACTTGGATGCACCAAACAGATAGTCCGGTGTCGCTGCCGCCGGTAGTCGAACACTTGGCCGCCGCAGCCGCCGCGTCCCAGCCGTTGCCCGTCGGCGCTTCGACGTCCGCGCAACAGCCCGCGACGGCGTCGTCCCAACAGCCGCCGTCATCGACGTCTTCGCTCCATCCGACGGCTGCCGCGCTTTCGTCGCTGCCGTCCACGCTGCTACCGCCGCCCCTGCCGCCGCCAATCGTCAGGTCCTCCAAAGTCCTCCTCCCCTTTCATAAGGCTCCTATTGGGCACTTACTGTCGTCGGTTAATCAGTGGCCGCCGTCGCCGCAGTCTCCGCTCAAGGCAATAGGGGTCGCCGTCCCCGCGGCCCCGACTTCAGCCACGGCCTCGACCTCGTCTGTCTCAGCGGTAAGTCGTCGCTCCACCCGGGCGGGAGTATTATAAAATTTGGTTTTCGTTTTTCTCGTTGTTGTTGTCGTCGACGTCGTTGGTACACATAATGAAACATATTGTAATGTAACAGATTAACGGAACGAACGACGTTGTCGGTGTGTACGTGGGGTGAGTGGCGGGGTGTTACCGCCGGTGGTACTTTCACGTGCCGCCGAGAGGCATGCCCGTTATCTACCTCTGCGTTACCATTTTATTACGATTATATTATTTATTATATCATTATTACTTACTACGATTATTATGTTAATTTCATTATTATATTATTATTATTATTATTATGTACGTGCGTGAGAAGAAATGAGCATTATCACCGTGTCGACCGTGTATCGAGTGCCTACGAAAAGATTAAAAACGTTTAGTTTATACAATTTAATTATTTATGCGTCGTCGTCGTCCCGACCAGGTAAATTATTGTGATGTGGCTACTCGCCGCTCTTTCTCGTACAGAGAAATCCCCCCATCGTATGTGACTGGTCGCCGGTGGAAACAGAACGGCTACACCGAGCTCGGCTTGTGGTTTTTTCCGGCCGATTTTTTATTTTTTCATAATACAATGTATAATTTTTTTTTCACGGTCGCAAATCGAACTCGGTCGTGGTGTGTTTTTTGCACCGTTTTCGCTCTGCCCGGTACAAACACACACACACACACAATGTACACGCAATTATTACTATTATTATTATCATTATTTCGCCTCGTTTCCTACCGAAAATCACCGTACCGGAACAATCCATTTTACACAACGAGTTCACAATACCGTCGTCGTCGTCAGCGGTGGCGATGACGATGATGATTATGATGTTGATGATGATGATGATAATAATAACAGTGGTGTACCGCGCCGCCGAACGGTGTCCGTGGACCGATGATTTTCGCATGTAGAGATATACCTACCTATATAGAATAATATAAACAACAACGCCGCGTACTTACAACAACAACAATCATAATAATAAAATTTTGTGCGGTGTGCACGTATAGATACTCTACACGGTCTTTGCCATCGACGGCGATGGGTTTTACAGTTATTATGTGTGTGTATAATAATATTCTCCTCTGTTCGGTTGGCGGTCGACGCCGCCGCCACTTCTCTCCGCAGCGCACACGCACGCACGCACACGCGAGACCGGAGTTGTACAACACACACACACGCACACGCACCGATCTCCTCGATCCGGCCAGAAAACACCACGCCCCGCCCCGACGTACCCATCCGTCGTCGTCGTCTTGTGTGAATTATAACGTGTATTATTATTATTAATATTATTATATTGTATACGACGAGAAACGTTCGTCGACGTCGTCGGCCGGGCGACTGCAGCAACAGCAGCCACCTGTCTACATATTATTATCCTTGTGTCGGTGGACCAGAAAACGAAGGGGGAACGAAACGGTGGAAAAAAATAACCCGAAAAAAAGGTCGTCTTGGTGCGTTGAAATTATCGATAAATAATACATCGTATAGGTAACACACGTCATAATGCAATAACGATGATCTCATCGACCGTATCTCGTACGGCCGGTCGCCGAGGCCACACCACGTGCATCGTGTGCATCACTGCGCGGCGTACGGTGATGTGATTTTCACACATTTTTTTTTCGGAATGATACATACATTATACCCTGTTATAGGTTGCCAAGGAACAACATTGTTGGAAAGAGAGTCGGTGCATAATAATATGACCTAAAAGTGTATGCGATATATTTCTAACAAAGTTGGCCCCTCAGACCACTTCTCTCTGTTATCAGTCCGTTTCTTTATAGGTCTGTGCACACAAAACACCCCATCCGGGCCCATTAAACGTATGCATGCTGCGTTGTATGAAAATCGGTTTAGCCAACACCACGACCGATCCATTGTTAACCGCAACATCTGCAGTTTATCTCTTTTCAGTCTCGTTTAAAATATTATGTTAATCTCATTGCCCCGCAGATACTTTAGTTAGAGCTAGAACCACGTTTGACACAAAAAGCGTGTGTTTGGTGGAGATTGGTTCGTCATGATATCTCAGTTTTTGCAGTCTGCACAATATTAGGAAGCTTACGATGTTATAACGTTGAATATTTAGATTGTCGTATGGATGTGGCACTTGTGTGCGAGGACATTAATTCTCGTCTGTAACACCGCACAGCGTGACATTTCTCAAGCGAATTACACGTTTTTTTCGTTATGATAATAATAATATATTACGTTATTGTTTTTTATTATACCGTTTCGTGGTCCGCTCGCGAATAATTGCGTTTTCGGATTAGATACGATAGGACGGGGCCGGGGGAAACGGTTTCCGAATACCAGAAAGAAAACCGTATTTTTCACGATATATTTATACGGTGAAAAGAATCTATACTGTTGCCTGTGCGTACGAACGGAAATCTTGTACGGCTATAAACACACGGACGAGAAGATGCGTTCGGTATTCGTGTGCACGTGCGACGAGTTTCTACGTCGTTTCGTCTCGTGTCCGGCTCGTAACATAATATAAAATAAATAATATATTATATTTTTTACGATTCGATTCTTTTTTTTTTTTTTTTTACCGGACCTGAGCCGGTCTTGAGAGTCCGAGAGCGGCGACCAACAACTTCTACTACCGGCGCGTTTTCGTAATGCATTCGGAGAGTATAATATATTATGTTTATAGGTATGTCGCTTTATCGATGCATTTTTTTATTTTTTATTATTTTCGTGTGTTTCGATTATATTATAAACTCTTTCTGTGCGCGCGCGCGAGTGTGTGTAGTTTGTGTTTGTATAATGGGTACGACAAGGGTCGTTGAGTTCTGTCGGATTTTACGTAACTGTTTTACATTTTCTTTCCTCGTACGTTTATATACAACGTGTATATATATATTATCATACAGTCGTCGTTGCGTCACAATAAAAATATATGTACTTCACTTCACACGACGCGCTGACGACCGACCGGCCGCTCCGCCGAGTCGCGTCGGTATTTATAATAACGTTATAATATATTATATTATGGGTACGGTTAAAACGTCATTATTATTCCTAAAAAAAAAATTTTAAAAACGATAAACGCAGAGTATAAATTACTAGTCTTAATATCGTTATTATAATAATATATTCTATGCGTATTAGGCCGCCTGCTATTGAACATCGACGAAATAATGTTACCATGTGTGTGTGTATTTTATGACATGCACGCGCGCATTATATCGTGATTTAGTGCAATAAGGGTGGTGGTCGGTCGTTGTCTCAGTCAGTGGGTGTACGCGATTCACTCACCGACTACCGCGTGGCATGCATTTCTGAAGGTTATTATTATTATTTTGAATTTCACCGTATACAAACACGAGTTTATATTATAAACGACATGAACATAATAATGTACAATGATAATAATATAATATTATATAATATTATTGATTTTATTATTGTCGTCGTTGTGTAAACACACAGGCTGCCTGCAGTACGTGTGGGTGGGTACATAATATCTGCGAACCCTTGTTATTTTTTATTCAGATCATTATCGTCGTTACTTTTTCCCTGGAACCCGTCGTTTTTACTAACGCGGGGTGGGGGACATGGGTTGTTTAATAGCAACCTACACACTTCCATTGGTATCGATCACCGTGCACAGGAGGGAGTGTATGTTGCACACACCCCTTCGTGTCCGAAACTTATACGTATTCGGTACAGGTACACCTAGAACAAAATATCGTTTTGCCGGTAGTCGACTAACATTCCACCCACGTTTCAAAATCGTTTTCTAGAGCACGATAACGAGCACCTGTATATTATCTACGTTCCAAAATGCACCATAATGTATGATCTCCTTACGCCTATTATTATAACGATCGTGTGTTCCAATGACATCGCTTACCGATCGTCCGAAATCGGTTTTCGGTAGAATTGTCGTAAATATAATATATAGGTAGGTAATACCAGCACGGAAAACCACTTCGGATTCGCACCGCATCAGATCGCCCGGCCGCATCCGCTCGACCCCGATCCGTATGTTCGCGTGGTTAGGCTTTTCGATACGCAACTAGAACTTTGCAAAATCCAAATGATTAGGGGCCTCAATATAATATGACCGACTGCACTGCTCAACACCGACGTTCTTATGATCGCGGCGAACCGGTAACGATTTGTCTCCGCGTATACGGTGTACCACGTATTATCAATAAATGGAGCGACAAGTGCATATAATATAATAATACGATATTGTTGTGAGTTACTCGGCCCCCTAATCGATGTGTAAGTATTACATCGTCGTCGATAACGGTACGTTACCATAAATAAATGTATATCGTTTCTCGGTTGAAAACCGCTGCGATAATATAGCAATTATACGCGATAGGAAGTCTCTGCGACGATGCGATACAGTGTGGAGAGAGAGACGGGAAAAAACCAGTTGCGATTTTAACGAGGTCGAACGCGGCGGCGGTCGTCGTCATCGTCGTGCAATGACGGCAATCGATTGTCGGCGGGGGGGCACACCGTTGCTTCGAGTAAGGTATACGACGAAATTTCGGTCATCGTCGATTTATTATACTATAATGGTAATAACTAGTGTTCGTAAGTTCTAGTGTACTAAAAAATGCACATTCGAATGCGAGTACTAAAAAATAAAATTAAAAAATCATTGACTGTAGTAGATACGAAATATAGAGTATTTGAAAGCGTCGCGTCGCTTCGATTGAATTTTCAAAATAAAATTATATACATTGGCGTCGACATAACACGCTCTATCGTCTAGACCCGCTGCGTAATATTTGACAATTATTTAAATTATGTGCTTTTTCTCAAAACCTCGAAATGTACAAAAATAAGTGTGATTAAATCGCACATTTTGTGATAATTTATAACTGTCGGATACGTGCTTTATCTGCCGACTCGAATTATTATTTTAGCTTTGTCGACTCGTTATCTGCCTGTTCCACTCCGCCCACAAAGGATTTGCGCTTTTCTCCTCTGCGGAATTTCTATC